CTAAATATAATATAAAATATATATGCTTCAAATCACATAAATACTATATGTTTGATATGTATAACATTTCGCGCAGTTATCATTCAACCAATCAGATCGCAGCTTTCTTATTAATTTGGTTATCAGATTCGATCTTGTGATCCTATAATCGGAAATGGATGATCTATACCTCATTAGAACCGTCTCAGTGAGCTAATTCGAATGGTGGTGGTTTCATCAAATTCTGTCTAGTGGTTCAAGAGTTATGGTCATTTTTGTAGATTAACAATAGGAAATTCATGTAATGTAACAAAAATTTTATATGTAAATCATATGATATCATATAATTTGCTCTAAAATCACTAGTAAAAATGATCTATATCACCCCTACTCTTAAATTAATATCTTGTAAAAATTTATTTTCCTATTATTTAATAAATATATCTAACTAGTACATAGTACTAGTTAGAATATTAATTGTGTAATTCTTATTTATTTAACTAATGGTAAAAAATTTCAATTGTGTAAATAGATATTCAAGTACTTCAATTTAAACATCAGTTTACTAAAGATTATTTTAATATACAAAATTATTATTATGACTTCCTTCTGAACAAATAAATTAAAGAAAAAACTTGCATTTGAATAATTCTGATTATTCAAAAGCACAAGAATTCTGTAATAAATATGCTTCTTTATTTAATTATTACTTCTATTTTATCCAAAATTTATTATAAACAAGTATCAGTTGGAAACATTATTTTGGATTTCTGTTGAGACAGAATTTTTTACAAACTGTTGCTTGCATTAATCCTTTTAATTCACTATTAAAAATTCTTTTAGAAGAAGATGAAGATGAACAATATAGTTAAATTATTATATAACCAATACTATAATGATTTAAAGAAATTAGAAAAACAATATTTCAAACTAGAAAGTCTTTTATGCATTGCTGCTCAAAAATTTCATAATATTTACAAATATTTATTTAACCAATTTCTATTATATTTTTATTATGATTTCACTAATATTGATTCTGAAATAAAAATTAATAATTTGTTTATAATTATCTATCTTGTTAATTTTAAAATTAAATAAATTTATCTACTTAGTTTAAAACCAAGTAAATTTTTTTTATATAATTTCAAAAAATGAAATTATTTCATACAATACTTCAAAATTTTAATACCAAGAAACTTATTAACATCACAATTGATGGATATGCAGCAGTTGGAAAAACATTAGTTGGAGAAGCAATTGCAAATTAATATAGTTATTAGTTTATTGATTCTGGGTTATTTTATCAATATATTGATTATTATCATAATGATTACTCAATTAACCAAATCAAGCAAATCTTCAATAAAGAACAGATATTAGAATTGATTAATTCTATCAAACATCTTAATAAAAAACAATATTAAGAATTAGGAATTAAAGTAGCTTAGATATTAACAAATAATGAATTGCATAATATTATAAATGAAACAGTTAGAAAAATAGTTAAGAACAAAGAATTTGTTGTAATTAGTTATAATATCACTACACTTTGTTTACCTGATGCTGAATTAAAAATAATTTTATCAGCAGATATAGAGACTTGTATAGCTTGACATGTTTTTTAAACAAATTCCAAAGATTATACTAATATTTTTAACAATATTTTAGAACAAGATGTATTATCTCAATTATTAATTAAACAAGTATATAAGTCTTATATGAGATTAATACAACCAAATAACATTATCTGAAGTTGTTGATATGATTTTAATTCAAGTATTTAAAAAGATACTTGGTATAATATATTAATGTTATTACAGAATAATTATCATTATTTTAATTTTATTCATATTAAATTATTTCAATTTTAAATATTTTCAATCTTTTATTATTTAATTTTATTTTATTAAATAAATTTATCTAGTTAGTCTTAAGACCAACTAGATTTTTTTTTATGTAATTTAATTTACATATTATTAACAATGTCTCAATAATTACCTTTTTAACCTAAAAAAAATTACCAAAAGTTTATAAAATTAATTTGATTTTTGATAAAAATAAGAATCTTAGTAAACATATATTCAAAACCTATTTGGACAAAATTTGTAAAGATGATTCAGAAGAAAAATCAATCTTTTTGATAAAACTTAAAGAATTTTATTCACTTATAAGTAAGATAATGACTGAGATAAAATTTAATTGCAATTCAGTTTGTAACAGAGATGATCTAAATTATAAAAGAGTCAAGAATTGTAAAAAAAAATTTTGTCTGGTCCCAGATTTGGGACATAATTTTGTAATTGATGTATATTTTAAACATCTATCTGAACTTGAATTAAGAGTGAAAGTAAATGATAAAAGAAAATAAGATACTACTAATAATGAAAAAAAAAGTGAAGAAAAAATAAAAGTTAATACAAACAAGAAAAAGAAATATGTTTCTAAAAAGAAAAAGAATTAATTTTATTTATTTTTATTTTAATTTATAGTTATTAAATATTATTATCAAATAAAATTAATCTATTCAGTAATTACTGAATAGATTTTTAAACAGGTAAATGGCTTTAACATAAAACTATAATACTGAAAAAATAATATATGATAGTATTGAAATAACAGTTAGATGTAGTGCTTAAATTCAAAATTTAGTATGTCCAAATTATAATATATTATGTTGAAAACTAAAACCAAAACCAAAATCAAAACCAAAAATCAACAAATATTATTGTAAGAAATACAATTATTTTTATTTACAAAAACAATATAATAGTTGTAAAAATAAGATCATTACAGAATTTTTATATTATTATGAGAAATGTACTAATTTCTATTCAGATAAAAAATATACTAAATGTAAAAACCAATTAATGAAACCTAAAGATTTTGATTCAGAATCTTTAACATAAGAGTCTTAAGTTTTATATTGTTCTACTAATATATATTACAAAACTGATGCAGATGATTTTATAGAGTAAAACAAGTTCAAATATATAAAAACTCAGAATAGTATTGTACTAAATAACAAATTATATTTTAGTGATAATGAACTTAGAATAGATGATTCTTTAAGTTCAAATAGTTTCAAATATAATTCACTTTAATTAGTTTTATAACTGATTAAATTTTTTTTCATATAATTCTCTTTATTAAACATTTTAACAATGTCTAAAAAATACAATGCTGCAAAGAGTCAATTTTCAGCCTGTCAATTATCTTTTTCATTATATTTATTTTAGCCCAATTCTGTTGCAAGCATGTACAATAATAAGATTTCTATAAACAAGAACCAGATAGATAATAAGATTAAAGTCAAACTCATAAAACAAACTAATTTGATGCAAATAAACAAAAAAATAATTAATCAATATGAAGAAGAATGTTAATTCTATGCATTATGTTTGATAGTAAATTCCAAAAAGAAAATTTTGATGAGTTATAAAAATAATCTTAGTAAAGATTATTATACATATTTTTTTTTGGTATTAAGGTGAGGCCTTGCTTATATCTTTATTAGTAATTTTAGTTGTATATATTAATATACTATATACTAAGATATACTAAGATTATAAACTACAAAATAAAAATTACATACAAGAATTAAAGCTTAAACAGTTTTATCTGTGATCTAAACCGACTATGGTGGTCAAGGCCTACCTAGATTTGTAATGTTAAAATGTGGTTATAAGATGTGCTATGATTAATCTAGAGTGTTGACTATATATTGATTTTCCTAATGGCTTGTCCAATTGGTGGACAAATATTAGGACATAAATGTAATTGATCTACTATTCCACATAGATATGAGTATGTATAGTTTATATGTGATCTCTTGTGATATCTTGTTTGCTGTATTTGTTAAGAGGTAAGGTTATTGTTAGAGCTTAGAAGAGATGTAATGTTATTATTTTTTTTCCAGTTAGAAAAGTCAATGCAGTAAAGTTTCCATATTTGATATTATATATATTATCAAGTAGCAGAAGATGGTTTAGAACTATATGAATTATTTATTAATTGTGTTAAGCAAAAAATATTTAAAGAGACCAAATTAGATTTGAAAGATTTCTATTTTATTATATATGATAAAGGATTATATAAATTTTCTGATTATCCAGACTGTGAAATTATGTTCAAAACTGTAATCTATTTTACTATTACTAATGAAATTTTATAAATAACAGAATATAACAGGAATTCTGCATAGGAGGCATATACTATCAATAAGTTTAAAAATCTCAAAGTTACTGATTTTTTAAGACTTAAAGAATTTTTAATAATTGAAGCTATTAATTTAAAATTCAAAAATTGTAAAAAATACAAGAATGATATTAATTATGTTGAATCTCAAAAACAAATTAAAATAAATTCTGAAGAACTTAATAAATCTAAATTTACAACATCATTCCTATCTTCACTTCAATAGTTTATTTCATTGTTATTTTTTTATTTTTATTTTTTTTTGATATTAAGGTGATCTTTTTGGTCTTTTAACTTTTATTAATCACTTATTGGTAATATGATTCAATGAACTATTATAGGAGAAAGTACAATTGACTACATATGTAACTTTTTTATATTACCTATTTAAAGAGTCTGCCTAAAGGTTTTCTATCAATTGCTGTATCTAATATCTCTGCTTGAATGTTCTACTTTAAATTCTCTAAATCTGTAATCTGTATTAACTTACTGGGTCATACCTAGATGCTCAGATTATCATCTTAACCTTAGGACTAATTTATCCTTAAAGTAAACACTCTAAAGTCTTCTGTATCTATTTTTATAACTGACCTAGATATTGTTATAACAAAACTAATACTTGTGATCAGGGCTTAATTATTAAATTGCAATGCTCTTGTAGAGTTTACTTAAACTTCAACATCTACTTTATAATATAATCTTAGTACTTTAGTATATCTTTGTCTTTTCATCTGCCTTTTTACCAAACTTCTAATCCAAATAACCTGTGTAGGACTATAACCAGTTCATCAGTATATTGGATCGACCTGATATTCTTTTTCTTTAGTTTGTTTTGGTGACTGATTGGTAGTATTTTTAAGACTCCCAACCTAGAGGTTCTTGCCTGTCTGCCTACTTCAACTAGTTACTAGAACTTGGTATTTGTTTCATCAAACTAGCTTTTGCAATAAGGCTGTCAAAAATTCAATTACCTCTCTATTTGGGTCTTCTCAAATAAACTTCTTGTTACCCAATTTCAATGAATTTACATAGTCACAAGGACTTATCTAGTGTTTGTACTGCCAGAGTTGTCAGTTTGCATTTCTTTATATAACTTTAACATTGTACAAATGCCTCATGACCTGTCAGTCATACTGATATAACTGTTATTACAGGTATCTTATTTCAACTGATCAACAGAATGCCATTACCATAATATGAATATTACATAGATAATTATTCAAATTTTTATTATCAATGGAATTTGAACACCTAACATACCACTTGGAGGGTTGACAATCTGACCACTTCACTAGGTCACTACACCTCTTAAAAGATAATTATATTGAATTCATAAATTAAAAATATAATTAAGAAAATTATTTTGTTTTTTTTTATAATCTTTAGATAGTTTTTATGTAACAGTTATTTAACAGCAAACTGATAAGTTGTAATGATTCAAAAAACTATTAAGCCAATTATTTGAAAATTTAAATAACTGAAGATCTAATTGATCTTAAAAATTTATAGTTTGGATAAGTGAAACTGCTTTTATAGATATCATTTCTCTATTTCTCTATTTCTCTAGTTACAAAATTTTGTATTTATTATTGATCTATAATTCAATTATATAAAATTTCTTTTATTTATGAATAATGAGATGCATATACATTATGTAATTTAGATTTATTTGACAAAGTTTTAATTAATTTGTCTTTTTTATTCATCCAGTTATATAATTGATTGACTGAATATTAAACTTTTTATATACAGCTTTAATACTTAGATCTGTATTATTTTGTTTGTAGTAAGTAAAAATATTTAACTTTTCATAAACATTTCATCTTTTTTTAATTTTTTTTGTTATACATGCTTTTGAGATACTTTTATTGTTAAGGTAATTATTTTTTTTTAAAAAAATAAAAATTTTTACATCATTTATATATTTAAAAGTTACTTTTGTTAAAGACTATGCTAAATTTCTTTTATTATAATTGCAAAAAATTACAAAGAGTTCTATTTGTTTTTATAAATCTCTTTTACTAGAATTACAAAAAATTACAAAAATCCATTTGTTTTTATGAACCTATTTTATTACAATTACATAAAGAAAACAAAAAGTGTAAAAAAACATGATCTTTATGACGAAATAACAAATTCTATTTTAGTAAAATTTAAAATCATCAGAATTAACTTGTTATTCGTTGACAAATGGTAATGGTAATTGTTGCAATTGTTGAGCAATTGGTGATGTACCAGTAAATGTAATTGTTGAATGATCCGATATGCACCATAAAAATATCCGTATAATCCGACAGGAGGGTGGTTTGGCCCGTCGTATACGGTACTGGACAGTGCAGATTTAGTATTAGCGTTAGGGTTAGTGTAGTTTTAGTAATATAGATCACATGATAAACTGCTATCCGTAGACTCTGCAAAAGCTGAAAACACTATAACCAATAAGTAATAGTCATCCATCTTGCAGATTATAATGATTGATTATTTACTGTGTTTATGATGTTGTCGAAGTTCATGTCATAACGCAGTATTCGTCATACAAGGCTGATAAATTATCTGACATGTCTAACGTAAGCACTGAATGATTTTTGTATAACTTATTTGGCTACCTCCTAAAATAAATATGCAAACTTACACTCGTAAGAGGCGAGTGAAATTTTGTACATATACTGAATAGAATTAGGTTAATTATCATGTGACTAGGGATGGTAACAATGCCATGTCGCATGGCAGTTTCATGTTGATCGCGTCCTACGATGAAAAAATCAACGTCACATTGTGCTCGAAGGAATGTTGGTGGAAAGAAACGAGTTGTCCGTTTTCATGGTGCCGTTGCATGCGCGTTCATTTCCGTTTCCCTGCAAGAAAAAACATTTTTCACTAGGCTCCGCATATTCAAAACGGTTCCGGTTTAACTTCCATTTTACTAACAGGTTAACAGGTCTGTGTCATTCACCAAAATCAATTAACCGATAAGATTATTTCACTGCCAATTATTTTCATTTCACTGACAGATTTTTTTAAAACTTGCACTAACCTTGACCCTAATTTTAAACCTTACCCTAACGACAATCACCAGAATTACTTTGTTGGTGAATGACTGTCAGTGAAATAAACTTGTCGGTTAATTAATATTCGGTGAAATGACATAGACTTATCTAATCAATTTATTATGGATGATTAAAATAAAATCAGTTTAAAATGAAATTTTGTATAATGTAAAATAGACAAGCTACCAAAAATTACAAAATTTTGGATGAATTTTTTAGCTTTTTTTTAGGGTTAGGGGGACAGCTTTAAGTATAAGTTGGTTTTGGAAGATTAAACAGAAACTCAAATCCGATTTCATTATAATCCACGATATTTATTATGATTATTATTGTTGTTAAGGTAATGATTGTAGTTGTTAACCGATAAAATCTACTTAGTCGACTAAGCCAGTTGAATTTTTTTTTTTTAGAAAATTGACCTAATGCTAGTCGATTCAAATTAAGGTACATCGACATAAGATATTTTGGAGAACTAGACAATCAAACAATTTAAATGGCAAGTGAGAGATAAGGTAACATTCGGAATACATATTTTTGGCATATTCAACTAAGCTGATTTTTTTTAAATTTCAACTTAGTCAAGTTTTATAAATCTAGGTCGATTATAAATACGTACTATTACTATATTATTACGTATCCATGAACGATGTCTCTATTATATCCTATGGACAAGCTACACGACTCGCAGAAAATGATCGTGCTTTATTTAAACCTTCGATGTATAGTATTAAGCTAAATTGAAAATTATATTTTGTACTGATTCCCAAAACAATAGTAACAATATGAAATAAAAAAAGCTTTATAGATCGGGTGTGAATTTTACATGCTACCGTGAATTATCGACAGCAATTTGATAATTGTTTTTTTAGAGGTTGTATTAATGACTAATTGTGATTTAAAGTACGTGGCTTTAGGAATGCTTTAGGTAACGACGCATAGTATTTAAGCGCGGAGAAAATGTTTAAGTGAGGTGAATACATACATATTCACTATGTATTTGAAAAAAAAGACATGTGAATGAATATTACGTACATAATACGTAAACAATTATAATTATTATTATTTATTATTATCAGTTATTATATATATAGCGATAACGTTAATAAACTGATTGTCTTAGCATTCAGGGTGCGCATGTGACCGACATTTACAGAACTGTGTATGTATGCGAGTTGCTTTCCCACAAAGACACTATTATGTATGCGAGTTGCTTTTCCACAAAGATACTATTCAATCAATAAATTCCGCTACCAATGATAGCCAAAACATTGAAAAAAGAAGACCATACGCTGTAAATCTTTATTCATATAAAAGGAGCTTTTTTAAGACAAACATAAGCTTAAAAAAAGAATGTTTCATAATTTTTCTTATTAAGTTTTTATCAAAGTTATGGATCTATCTAAATTTTTGTATCTTATTGAAACTAAAAGCAACGGAAATAATATTTTCTAAGAACTTAAGGAAGGTACCATAAAAAAATTTTTTTTTTAAAGAATGAATTTTAAAAGTAAAAGGAATTAAATTCCCTTGAAATTTTAAAGCGACAAAAATTAAAATAAGGATTAAAAAATATATAAATAACGAGATTTGTGATAAATAACACCGTTAAAAAGGATATACATATATGTTATATGTATCCTTTACAAATATTCCTTTATAAATATTAAAAGGAACTAACTTTTTTGACCAACAAACCTATGTGTTGATGCATAAGTCCTATGGATATTGAATTCTTGTTCTGCTTTGATCATCATTTCGTTATATTCTTCCTCGGTTATGTCTAGATAAGAAATTATCCACGGCTTCACTTTTCCAGAAAGTTGACGAGTGTAGGATACACCCAATTCACCCGCTCGGCGACCCCAACTTCCAATGGGACTTATGACGACTTCATGTTGAATTCGGGATATTTGGCCCGTTGATGTTAATAACCTTCCAAAACTTTCACAAATGGATCCATTTATATCTTTTAGTCTTAGATGGTTTAACACTAAAAATAACATTAAAAAAAAGATCAGATATTAATTAAAATAATAATAATAATACCGATATAATGGCGATAGAAGAAATAAACTACGTACATGCATCATTCCATCTTTCGAAATTTGGACCACAATTGTAGTATTTTGAATCAATCTGGGTTAGTTCTACCCATCCATCAGGTTTAGTTAACCTTACGATTTCATTAACAATTTTATCTTCCCAGTCTCTTTCAGTAAAAGTGGTTCCATAAAGTCGAACTAGAACGAAATCGAACGTATTAGAATCGAATGGTAGACCATCTAACACATTACTCTGTAAGAACCGTACATTGGATTTGGTCACAACGGAAGGAAACATTGGAGCGACGTCAACGCCAATAAAATGGGAATTGGGATAATCCGAAGCCATTTCGAGAGTCCAAGCGCCATAATTACAGCTATGTATGGTAAGAATAAATAATATCAATTTATTTTATTTTACTTTATTTAGATTAACGTAGACATAAAAAATAAACACACCAAATATTAAGGATTTTAGCGTTTCCATCTCTGAGTTTATCTTCAATAGGAGCACTATAATTGCTTTGCCACATATGTCTAATGAAATAATGAGGATCTTGTAGCCAATGTTTTTCTTCCTCAAGATTACTTGGAAGAGGGTATTTAAGATTACCATTCAGGCTCGTTCCAACCATACGATATACAGTATCGGATCGAGTTGGTTGAGTGCTCGGCAGGAAACAAACATAAGTATTTTGACGTGCGGCACCAGATTCATCGTTTACACTATTTGATGGTCTATTGCCCATAATAGATGAGAAAAAAAAATATCGGAGGATTTTTATCAAACAAAAATAGTAAAGAATGGAAAAAGTTTGTTTAACAATATCGAAATATTTCGTTTTGAATGGACCAGATGAAGAACTGATTTAACCAACGAACAAAACGAAAAAAAATGGGTTGTTTGGTGAAGGAAGAAAGAAATTTGTTAGCTTATTATATAAAGGTCATGAAAGAATGGTAAATGCAGATTTATTCAATTATAATCATCAAGCATGAACTCCGTTTTTTTTTTTTTTCTTTTGGTTTTAGATTACAAATGACAAGGCTTTATAATACTTTTATAATTTAATAATTCATGAATCTATTTTTTTTTTTTTGCAAAATTTTTTTTTTTTTGATTTACCGTTACGTGACATGACGCACGTTTATTTTGGTTGACCTTCTGCCCTTGTGTTCAATAAACCTTTTAAACTTAAAATTAAACTATAGATATATATAAACATTTAACCAATATATTACCGCATCACCCATGTATAGAAACTACACAAAGGTAACACTCAGATTTGATTGGTGCTTGCAAATTAAATCAATAAAAAACCCATGCCGAATTTACACACACAGTCCCCGGGTAATGAGATGCTTCCAAATGAGCATCGACATATACATGCATGGTACATAAATGAAACGCATTCTTGTATTATATTGGACGAATGAACGATAAACATACCTATGTACTCAAGTATTTGCGGTATGTATGTACTATCACACAAAATTAATATATTCGGAAGTCTTGATCTGTTGCTGTTACAGCTTTAAGCTAGATCAGCATATTTTGAACACAAAGTTTGATAATTATTAAATATTTAACCGATTAATAGATTTTGTTTTATTTTACATGAGACAACAAATAACTCGTTAAAACGTTACATTTAATAAATGAAAGAATCTTCCTGGTGAAATATAGTAAAATATACAAAATTATAATGTATTTTAATATGACAGTGATATTAATTACAATTTACTAATTAAATTGTTTACTCATGAGACTAATCGTGATACTAATCGTGAGACTAATCGTGATACTAACCGTGAGACTAATCGTGATACTAGTCGTGAGACCACACATTGATCTTCTTTATTACGCCATCAAAAAGACATCGTTAAGTATCTCACTGGTGCTGGTATTCGGGAAATCCATTGACACGGAATAGTGCAGATATTTCCATGTTAATTTTAGGACCTCGGTTATTACATCAAGAAGTATGCATTATTAATCTTTACTGGTAAATATTTTATTGATTAGTAATTGAACATTTTCTATGGAACATATTTGAAAAAAATATTACAAACTTTTTTAAAACCAGTGGTAAATGTTAAGCAAAACCAAAAAAGGTTTTATATTTTTATATACAATATTTTCAATGTTTTAGCCACATTTATCAATTCATTAATGATGAAATAGGCAGATAATTGTATATCATTCTATTCTTACATTCAAAAATCTACATTTGTCATCTTTATCCTTTAAAATCACGAATTAAAAATAAATCCAACCCAAAATACCATAACATTAATCATTAACGATAATATTAATAACGTCATCCCAGGATGACGCTTTTTCGTCGTACAAGCCGTTATATTCATACATTCGGGGTATTCATACATTCGGAGAAAAAATATCGATATCGACGTCCATATGAAATGAAAACTAGGAAAATCTTTACATATCGATATAGAGCTTTTCTTAATCTTAATTAGGAAAATGTTCATCATATAATAAACTTTAACCTTCACATTTCTTAATGTTAGGGTCGGTGATCGGCTCCACTTTAAATTTAGTTCTCCGATAACATGCGCACCAGATTTTCGATGCCGGCACATGTAAAATGTAAATTCATGATTTCCGAATTTACTATTTTATTTCCTTTTCATCCATTTAGGCACTATATGCATCTCATTTGCCAAAAATGTCATTATTATTTATTTTATATAATAAACAATTATATATTTGTAAATAAAAAATCTTATTTGATATGAATTTATTTATAAACTTATAATGTTGGAACGATGATGTATCTAAGCATGCATGCAACAATTGAAAAAGCATTGGATACAATAAATATGTTTTAGTCTGTTATCATGCTATTATGAATGCTATCTTATTAATGTTTATGTCTCATTAATCTTAATGTTTATATATCAATATATGCAAATTATTCATTACAGTACTCTAATGACAGGATTTATCCGATAAACTAGTTTGTTTTTTTTCGATTTGATTACATATTTAATATCCTATTACTTTAGCACCAATCGTTATTTAATACCTTTTTTTAACAAAGAATCATTGTTCTATAATGAGAATCTTGTCCGATTATTTTACTAATCAAACATTGAATTGAATCATTTTTACAAATAATGATAATATCTATAATATCACCGTTCATTATATAAATAGAACATTGCGAAATATTTAAAACACAAATAATGTTATTTATAGCTTAAATGATTTGTTCAATAATTTGGTTATTTTAATCCTTCTAATTCGTTATTGTTTCAGCCTTGATTTTACATCAATATGAATTTATAAAATTTTTACAAATTAACTAGAAAAAATGAAAATGCACGAACTTCTGTACTCACTTGTACAAATTTTTTAAGTCTCCCATTCACCATACTACAATACCAATGGTCTTTAAGCACTATTCATGTAAGAGTGTGGCTTTAGGGAGGTAACCGTTGCATTGCATCTTTAATATATGATTAGATTCTAATCTATATACTAAATATATTATTATGATTATTATAGATTATTCTTTTTAATTAAGCGCGTGAAATGGAACTTAAGAAAGTTGCTAGAAAATCTAAAAAAATCTTGAGTAATCAAATACGTATATGCATTGAATGCATTGATAATTACAAATTAATTTGCAATCAACAGAATGTTATTTAATATATTTAATATATATATATATTAAATATAATAAATAAATAAATAAATATATATATATAATAAACAAAATTTAATTTTATTATATAATATAAATAAATGCATTATTTATAATTATAAAATTTAATAATTATTTGTGAAACCTTATTCGGTAAGGGTTCTAAACAAGATACATCATCTTGCTTTTGGTTCAGCCAATAGTGGCTAATGCGTATGTTTATAAATGTCACACGTGGACTAATATAAATAATTGGCAATATAGGAAAGCAGGAATAGATGCTGAACGGATTGAGAATATTGTCATTATGTAAAATATGGTATTTTGGCTGATAGTTTCATAAAAGGTCTTGATCAATTACCACAGAAACTTGATGCAAATGCGCTTCTTATATAGGTAAAATCAAAAAAAATAACAATAAAAGCATTATTGTCAATGGTAACCTCCGAATGTTTGATCCTATCAATATCTATATCTATGTACTCTTTAACAAATCATCTCAGGTTTTTAAATATTCCGCATTTCAACATCAATGGCCTCTCCATTATCCGTTTTCGCATCTCTGGCGTTGATAAAAAATTTTTGATTACATAATTGATTTTTGCATTTTACTATTTTTCTACCTCCAATTATAATTAAAACCCTTATGCGAGATGCCACGTACTTGGAAAATATGGTAACACAATTATAAAGTGTTGTTTACTTGTTAATAATGTTAATATATAAATATGCGTACAATTTAATACGGACACAAATCTTAACTTATCAAAATAAACAACGTATGCGCTCCTTAATGTTAATGATGTGTAAAATTGAAAACAAAACCCTCTATGCACAAGCGACCTGAACATGAGCTTATTTTATCTATCTTTAGCATTTATTAGTAAATCTATAGTACTGCAGACGACTTTACAAGTTGAACGAATAAATAGTTTTTTTACATCGTGTAATTGTTCTCACTAATTAAATTAGATTCTTCCAACAAAAAAACCATATATATACGTACATATATATGCGTATATACACGCATATATATATATATCATATATGTATATATGCGATTTATACAAATTAAAATAAATCACCATTAATATTAAAAAAAAAAACTAAAATAAATATGCTAAGTTTAATATCAATTATTGAGTTTTAAATGAGTATTTGCATAATTATCACAAGTAAATTGACTTATGGACGTGCGCATGTACAAACTCTTGCTTTTACAGTATATTTTAAATTTTCTTGGCAAATTATATATTAACCGCTGCTCATATGTATTTGATTATTTTTCACAAAATTTGCACATTTGTCAATTTGCAACCCCCCTATTTTCATTAATTCTGTATCATTATATGTATAGAGGTCCATTGTTATTCGTGCGTACCCTTTCTTCCGTTACACGGCTGTTTGTCAACTATTTGTCACATCGTGTTCCCAAGTTGGTTGTTTATTAACGCTAAGTAATTACCATTATTAGAGTTGGAATATTGGCGCTCTATTGAGAATTTTCGCCTGCCCCAATCCATTGCTTCATTATTTATCACTAAACCTTACTGATTTGTTATATCTAATCTATTTAATAATTGCAAATTATTTAAATGCAAATAAGTACTTATAAAACAATTGGTTTATTGCTTTATTTTGCTTTTTCCATCTCTAAATAATTTTAGTGTATTCTTTTAAACCTATATAAATAGTGTATATATATATTAATTTAGTTTTATAATAATTTTAAAAATTATTAAATTTAAAAACTAGTACAGTACAACCAGGAATCCGGGATGTCTTATGACGAACTTAATGGAGCATGAGCTATCTCACGATTACGGTGAAGAATCAGAGGCCTTCCGACCGTTTGTTGATCTTCGCATAATGATAACTCTTGCCTTTAAAAGGTGTGACAGATCCTAAGGATGTCTAAACACCTTCAGGATAGCGGAGGGAGAAAAAAAAAACTAGTACAAACCTTTTTATAATCACAATACTATTAATTTTATAATCAAATCTTTTTTTATGTAAAACAAACAGTGTGGGACGACTGTATAGTTATATCTAAATTATATCTTAATTAATAATATTTT